ATGGCTCGGCAGGGACAGTCATTCTGTTCCACCAAAATTCATTCTCAAGTAATGGCATAACAATTCAAGCCACAAGTCAGGACAATATAGCGCCCAGGTGGGTCAAGGCAGATATCAAACTCAAAGAGGAAGACATAGCCATCCTAGGGATATACGGTCTGAATGCTATACATGAAAAGAACCCTTTCCTCCTCTCGTTAGAGCACCTAATCCCTACCCACACACACACCATCTTAATGGGGGATTGAAATTTTGTACCAGCTCCCTCCCTAGATGGAATGTCCAACTCACAAGACCCCGTACCACAGTCTAACAACATAGACCTTGGAGACTTCATCACAAGGAAAAACCTTGTAGATCCTTACCGCCTCCTAGCTCCAAACACAAAACGCTTTACCTCCCACGGTAAAACCTCCCACGGTAAAACCTCTCTCTCAAGAATAAACTTCTTCCTTACCTCAGAATCCCTTTCAAGCGCCATAATAGATTGCAGAATAAATGACAAACCCCTACTATAAAGGCCTAGACCACAAAGCAATCACACTCTCCCTCAGGCTCACCAAAACGGGCTACAAAGGTAAAAGTTTTTTGCGCTTCAACAATGCCCTCCTAACTAGCCAAACCTTCCAGATCAACCTAGAAAACATATTATACACCCGAACAAAGATCGAACCACACGAGGACATATACATCAGATTCCCAGAAATCGTAAAGAACATCAGCAGGGACGTATCTATAACATCTAAAAAACTAGCAGCCCAAACGAAGGAAAGAGTAGAAGCACTACAAAACGCAATAGAAATAGCCGAATTAAACCTTCAAAGGGACACCATCTCAAAGTTCTACGCAAAAATATATTCCAAGGCTAAAGAAGAACTAACAGAATGGACACAACTAAAACTCAGGGGACTACAACTGAGGGCCAAAATGAAAGACTGGGAACTAAACAAAAGAATGACTAAATTCTACTTCCAAAAAATCAAATCCAACTCCGGGAACTCTAAGATAGGAAGTCTAATCAACAAAGACGGCAACCCCACCTCAGAAACAACCCAGTTAGTTAATATAGCTACCAACTTTGACAAGGACTTATATACTAGTAAAATTCCAGCAGGAAGACAAAACAATTCATTAAGAGCAAGAGCCAAATTCCTAACCCATCTAGACCGTTCACTATCAACGGAAACAGCAAGCATACTGGAAGCTCCCATCACATCTGAAGAGCTATTCTCAGCCATCAAAAAGACCTAAAACCCAACAAGGCACCAGGTAAGGATGGCCTTTCCAAAGAGTTCTGGATGGCAAGCTGGCACAAACTTGGTCCCCTCTACCTAGACTTCCTCAATAGAGCTTGGGAAAAAGAATCCCTCGATCCAACTTTAAGCACAAGAGTCGTAACCCTCCTTTACAAAAGAGGTAATAAAGAGGACATAAGAAACGATAGCCCCATCTCCCTTCTAAATGTATCCTATAAAATTCTAGCCAAACTCCTTGCCTCCCGAATCAACCGTATCACAAGTGGTTGCTTCCATCTCGACCAAACAGGATTTATCCCAGGCAGACTCATCCTAGACAATGTAATCACCCTCAACGAGGCCACCAAATTAATTAATCAAAAGAAAACCACAACAACAATTCTCTTCTTTGATTTCGAGAAAGCCTACGATCAGGTCAATTGGGATTTTCTCCAATCCTGCATGGAGAAAATGTTGTCTTTCTGTGGAGTTGTGCACAACGAACATGACAACGCACACACACAGAGACACATGTGTCGGGGCACAGACTGCTCAGCAGCACCAGTGTGGAGACCTGTACAGCTGGTAAGATGTTTCACTTTTTTTCACTCTCTTCCTTTCTTGTTTCTTCAATGACGCGAAGTCTTGCACCACACAAAGTCCATTCCATGACCAAAGCTGCTGACCAGACATGAGATATAACATAATGCATGGAAGTCAGATTTTCTCTATGAGCTTGGTAGGAGGCTTAGGCATTGGGAGTTACTGAGTGATTGATACTTTGATGCTGTGTGAGCCTGACAGAGTCTGGAGTAGAATGTTTGGCAGGTTGCTGAGATTGGGCTCGTTAAGCTTCATTCACTTTATCAAATTTTACAGGCTCTTCTGTTATGAACATGATTGTCCGTTGAAATTTGTCAACGCTCACTCACAGGAACTCCCGTACACGCCCATACATCCACAGAAGGAAGGGGAGAGGTAGTGGAGTGTCACACCGCCCAACAGGAAGAACGTAGCGGAAGACTCAGAGGGGCGAAGTGACAGAATACACAACCCAGTGAATTCTCTCTACACAAATCCCAACAATCATTCATAGAAGACAACCGAGAGATCACAGCCAAAAGTCAATGGAGAGATGACAACTCGAACACAGTCTTACAACTGTTTATTAAACTCAGAGCATCGTTTTCACTGAATAACCTCAGAAACCTGTTGCGCTACCCTCAGAGGGGTAGCGCCTCAACCCCACACACACCGAACAGCTAAAAATAGCACCAGAACCCCAGGTAAAACCCAGCGCCACCCTGACATCCAACTCAGTGGCCTGCGCCAAGATGAAACAGGCTCCCAGAGCCAATCACCACTCAGATGATGAGGAAGAAGCTCAGCACCAACGGTCTCTGATGAAGATGARGTCCAGAAGATGATAATCTCTGAGAAGATGCAGCTATGGCTGCATCGCCACTGGGACCCTACTCCTGAGGAGGGTCAGCAGTGCACCACGTGCTCCAACGCATCAGACCTCTGATAGCCCAGACCGCTTTGACTCCCAGAGAGTCAGAGCGGACAGCGTTGACCCCAGTGTGGTCAGCGCTCCGAAGGTCTGGCTATGTCCGCCGTCTCCCATGCATGTATCAGTCACGACGACCTGATGCCGCGTGCGCAGCAACTTCCACCACAAAGTGTCAACTGCCAAAAGCCCCGGACCGATTCTCTCAACCTATCTATACTCTACCCTAGCCTAGACTCAACCTAGACCGGACTGACTGACCGACCGGTACCGTTTCTGTTTCGGCCCATAGGGCCTTTCCCTACCCAGCTATAGGCTATAGGACCGTCTATCAGCGTAGGCCCATTGGGCCTGTCTGTCCTAGGGGTAGCCCGGGTCTGCTATTCGCAGTTAGGGTAGCTGTAGGAAATTTGAGTTAGTACTGGGCCCATGTTTCCTGTATTTACAAATATGTCCCTCACGAATTTTCCTCCCAGGTAGGTCTCTCGGTTAGCCCTCAGCCAAACAAAATTACGAATCTGTCCCTACCTATGGTACAGCCTCGTCAGTGAGAGGCTACAGGCAACCTGGAACCGGCAAGTCATTGCACTTCTCTCTTGGTGTGGATGGAAGGTTCATGCAAAAACAAGAAACCATGATGACTGTGGAGCGGGAAGGTTGACAGGAAGATTAGTTTTACCTCACATCAAGGTACATGTGCGAGGATATGGGTCCTCAGCAGGCCTAAGGGGCCCCCTGCAACAAATGTGCCCGCCCTAAGTGAAGGCGGGCCTAACAAATCGCCAGAGGCCCTAAGCTGTCAAATTCGTATTTGGGGTCCAGGCAGTTTCGTCGCGCCAGTGGGTTGGGGAAACACAGGCCGAGCAGCAAGGAAGTTTTACAGCCTTCTAGGCTTTTCCGAAAGTGCAGGCCCTGGGCGAGATTTGCAGCCTCATACACAGACAGTTGAGGGGCCCAACGGAATGAGGCCCAGTAGCTGCACCAGAGGCGCAGCATCCTGGGGCCTACCGGAAGCTTCTGGGCCCAGGCCCAGGCCAGCCAGGCTGAGAAGGCAGGCAGACTCTTTCCATATAGGAAAGAGCTTGCTGCCTGGAGCCTCATTCGGGCACTCGCATGCTGGCGGCAGCGCTGCTGGAGCTGAAGCTCGTGGGCTGCTGCTAGCGCTGAGAGGCGAGGTGCTAGCACGTGCGGTCGTGCAGGGAGCAGGGCGCTGCTGAGGGCAGCACCATAGCCCAGCCTCCATAGCTGGGGGGCTTGGATGTACAGTGAGGCGCAGGGGTGGTCTTCGGGTGTTCAACAAGGGGAGACGTGCGAGAGAGTCAGGGGAGAGAAAGAAGGATGATGATGATGATGATGTGAGGGCACATACCTGGTATTGACGATGGTCTGTATGGGCGACATCTTCAAGTACTTCGGAGGCTGCTGACGTCAACAGTTGCATTGTCAATTAGTAGGCTAGTAGTAGCTGTGTAGGGAGTAGCCTGGCGCCGAGCGCCAAGTAGGGAGATAGAGACTGGATACATATGTTGGTGGTGGCGAGAGCAAGCTCTCATTGACATTGGCTTTCAGTGCTACTATTCTCATTTGGTGTCATATTGGTGCAATGCTACTTTCTGAACACTGTGATACGATCTGGCTTTCAATGTGATTGTGCAATCTGAATATTGTCATCTCGCTTCTGTTCATTTTCCTTGCACATGTCCGACAAAAAAAAAAAAAAAAAAAAAAAAAAGTTACATGCCCAATTTTGCCTGATTGAGTGAGAATTGCTCCTTCCATGTTAGAGTTTGGGTATATTTTATGTGGATACGCAAGGGTATGGATGAGGATATATCCGATATAATGAATAGTCTACGTCAGGGAACATGGATCTTGCATTTTTCTTTTCTTCCCATTCTCCTCCATCTCTCCATATGTGATCAATTTGCTTAGGTGCACTCACATGTTTCTTCAATGCGCACAATGTGACGATGAACATAACATGCATTGTCCTCACCATCAAGGCAAGGAGCAAGCATCTATACGTGTGTGTTTTGGGGAGAGAGAGAGAGAGAGAGAGAGAGAGAGAGAGAGAGAGAGAGAGAGAGAGAGAGAGAGAGAGAGAGAGAGAGAGAGAGAGAGAG